ATTTAGAAATTTGGGGGTGAGGAATTTGGAAATTTGGGAATTTGAGGCGTGAGGAATTTGGAAATTTAAAAATTTGGGGAGTTTGGAATTTGGGGAGTGAGGAATTTGGAGATTTAGAAATTTGGAGAGTTTGGAGATTGGCAATTTAGAAATTAGGAGAGTGAGGAATTTGGAAATTTGGGAATTTGAGGCGTGAGGAATTTGGAAATTTAAAAATTTGGGGAGTTTGGAATTTGGGGAGTGAGGAATTTGGAGATTTAGAAATTTGGAGAGTTTGGAGATTGGCAATTTAGAAATTAGGAGAGTGAGGAATTTGGAAATTTGGGAATTTGAGGCGTGAGGAATTTGGAAATTTAAAAATTTGGGGAGTTTGGAATTTGGGGAGTGAGGAATTTGGAAATTTAGAAATTTGGGGAGTGAGAAATTTGGAAGTTTAGAAATTTGGGGGGTAAGGAATTTGGAAATTTAGAAATTTGAAGAGCTTGGAATTTGGAAAATTTGAAACTTAGGAAACTTTAAAAATTTGAAGGGTTGAGTTTGGGAATTTGATGACTTGTTAAACCAAAAAGAAAAAGAACCAATTAATTATAAAAAAATATGATACCAATGTGCCCAAAGTCCAACACCTATTTACTAATTCTAATAAGCTTCCAAAGAAAAAATGTGAAAACATGATATTATGATAATGAAACCTATAGCTAAGAAGCATAAAATTAAACAGCAAAATAAAATAAAAAGATACAGATTTACTTATAATTTAAAAAAAATGTTTAGCATCCAAATATTCTATCAGTTAAAAGCCTTTATAAAACAATTTTATTGTACTATTATATTACTCATAAATATATACATTCTTTAAAAAAATATGTACTTGGTTAGTCGCAAGAAATAGTACTTCAAAAGAATTTAATTATTTGTAAAAATACAAAATTTCACTTATTATTACAGAAATATACTTTCATATTATAATAAAGATACTCTCAAGATATGAAGTATACACAACTTTCTTTTTGTATTTTAATCTACCAACAATTAAAAGAATTTATCTAAGAAACATCAAGTTTATTAAGTTCGCTTTCGAGTTTATTTACGTTTTTCACAAAGGATTATTATAAAGATACTGTTATAAAGCTTGCAAAAGCAGGTAACAAGTCAGGCTACCGTGCTAATTTATTCAGCAAACTAACAGCCAAACTTCTGTTGTTAGAAACTTTATCCGAACAGTTTCCTCTTCATATAAATCTTACTAAATAATCTCGAAATTCTACTACTACGCATTCATCTTTGTTAGCGTGTTTTCCTCGGAGTATTTACTTGCAGCTGATCGATTCAATCGAGCACTCTTGCAAATGTTTCTTATAGACATTCGAAAGGTCAATTGCATAATTATCCACGCATCGTAAGATTCGTTTGCAATATGCAAAATACAAGTATTTTCATGGAAACGTTGATGGAAGGAAATGATTGTAAAAGAAAATGAATGCCATGCGAGAACCAGTGACAGCTCAAATAGAATCCGTGGCTAATTCTTTACAGTTTTACAAACTTCTTTGTAATTTTCTTTTACAAACTCTTTTTTATTGCATCTTTTTTTAGGCTGTCAGAATGAATTTCACTGATATTCAAATACTGTGATGACATTTTAAAAATGATAATAAATAATATCAACAAATAAAGTACATGTAAGATTGTAACATTCAATGCCACGTACATTTTGATTAAAATTTTTGAAACATTTTAGACTTGAACTTAAAAATAAATATATGTATTTGCATAAAATTTTGTGAGTATAAATTCAGATGTGAATTTTTGAAATACAAGTATTAACATTTATAATGAAATTTTCTAAGCATGAATGTACAGTTAAACTTGTTGAATATAAATACACTTGATTTAAATTCCTAATTTAAATTCCTTACTTCAATTCCTTAATTCTTCAATTCAGGTATAAATTTAGATTTAAATTATTTAAAATAGTGAAGAAGAATGAAGTGTACATTTTGGAATTTTTAAAAGAAAATTTAGTTTAAAAGAAAAAGCTGATTCGCAGTCTTATATCGGTGTTTCAGAATGTCAGAAAGCCACGGATCTATTTGCAGCCGTAATCCCTTTGCCCAAAACTCCATATTCAACGTCGAGGTCTACCATTGTCAATTTGACAGTTGTTGCCGGAATATCGGGCGTAACAGTGGCACTCGTAACGATCCTGCCGTGACACGCATTTACCATGCATCATGCATGGCTCATGATTGCAGAAATCCATGGTGGTGATCGAGCTCGGTCCTACGCTGCCGAGTCCGCCTGTACTACCTGAAAGTTTCGTACGAGAATCTAGCATGCAATCTACTGCTTATATACGTGATCACAAAACGATCACACGTGTCTATGCAGCAACAAACCAATTATACGTGGATCTTCACTCGCATATTGTGCTGTGGTTCTACGTTGTAGAAGCTACACTTTACTCTGATATACCATTAATTATACTGGGGGAACTATCCGCCATTTTGTGGCGTTTATAACCTCAAAACTTATTTGAAGAATTTTACAGAAACATTAGTTTTGTTAGAACATGTTTAATTAGTTTTGTAAAAACATGTTTGAATAATCTAGCAAAAGCATGTTTGAAATTAAACAAAAATATCTTTGAATAATTTTAAGAAAGTTAATCAGCTTTGTTTGGGTATAACATTTTATTAAATTGATTTTTTTAATGAAGGAACATGTTGTTTTCTATAAACGCTACTATGTTTACTTGATATAAGTATAATTTAGACGAAGATGAATTCAATGAAGTATTATATTTCATTCTATTTTTTATAATTACACTACCAGTTAAAACAGCCTAACTTATTAATGAGCTTATTAATTAGTATGCAATCATTAAATGTATGTATGCACAACCTTCATATGTACTTAAAAATATACATACTAAAAACAGTCTTTGCAACATTCATTAATTAATTCTTTTCAAAAATCGTTCATCAAGATCTCATATTTTTGTAATATTTAATATTATTATATTTCAAGAAGAAATCAAAATAAGAATTTAAGGTTGAATAACGGTTTTGTGTAGTACAATATTCGAGAAGTAAATTTTATTTCTCCATAATTTCTGTTTTTTAATAAACTTGTATGGTATTTACGATAGGAAAATGAAAATTCTTACATCCTTTGTTGTCCGCAGGGCACGGACCAAAGATGGCTCCGTTATTGATAGTGTCGTTAAAAAGAATTCCAGGACCTTGGAGAATGCATCCTCTGAATCCTTCTCCCACAATGAGAGAGCCATTCATATCGTAGTCAGGAAGCGTAAGAATCGCAGCGTTGTACGTGGCATTAGCAATTACCTAAACATAATAGCGTTAGGCGTTAGATCAACGTCGTTTCGTGTCGTAGATTAAAAGATAACTTCTTTTTATTATTTACAAGATGTTTCATTTATAACACGTAGTATTTTTAGGATATTGACAAAATTTGTTTGAGATGATTTTAAATATTTCAATCTTTTATGGGACTGAATTTCAAATATTAATTTACTTATTTATTTATTTAAATTATTGTTATTTTTGTATTATTCTATGTATTATTGTTATTTTAAATTATTCTTGTTCTGTTTAAATAAAATGAATCAATTTTTGTTGGATAATTTACAATTAAAAATTTAGACATTGAAGACTTAATCTTTAAAATTTCAATTTTTAAATTTGCAGATATTTTTAAAATAAATCTTTGATTTTTAAATTTGTGCTTTTTCTAACTTGTAAAATCAGAAATTCTTAGTTTTATACGTTTTTAAACCTACATGAGCAAATTCTACATATGTACAAGCTCTACATATGTACATAAGTATACATTCAACATAAAAACACAATAACTCAATGCAACTAAAAAATATAACAGCAGACTAAATACAAATAGTTACTCATCTTGAAAATATTTCAGTGTTTATTTTACCTGTGTATGACCAGCAGCGTTCAAAGTAAGATTCCCGAGTCTAAAAAAGAGATTAACATTGTTCCAAGCGTTGTTGAGTAACCTAGCATTAAGTCTCGCTTTGTAACGTTGTTGGTCAACGATCGCCACAAAAAGTAGTCCTTCCGGAGTCACTTCAAGACTGATCGAATCGTCGTTGTATTTCTGCATGAAAAGACGACCACCTTCGCAAGTTCGAAAACTTAAACCACTGTGCCTGTGCACCGACACGAAGGAGCTCAATTTGAGAAAAGCAGAGCCATCGAAGTATGCTTCTCGAGGATGTTCATCGTACTCTTTGTGTCTGATGTCTTGCGGCGCTTCGTCAGTGACTACTAACAAGCTAGTGAGTACTGAAACAGAAATTTAAATCACTACTTAATTATTATTCAAACGTACTATAAATATCTTAAACTTTTAACTTGTTAGGAAGGTATTCTTTTTTGCTGCGAAATTGTTTTGTTAGGAAGCTATTCTGTCTTGTGTTAAAATTTTGGGGAACCAGATATTTTTATAAATAGATTATTTAAGCTAACATACAATTTTGAAATTATAGATGCACAAATCTTACACTTTGGTAATTTGTAAATCTGATACTTCAAAATAATATAAATATGTAAATTGTAATTATATGTACGTGTGGCGAGTAATTTTTCAAGTGTTCAAACGGACACGGATATTGATTCAGAGCAGGAAATAGAAGACATAATCGATATGTACACACATACATGTCCGTCCTAATTTCTGTTATCATTAGTAGCTTGCAACTTCGGGGAGATAATGTTCGTATTGCAACTGACACGTGTCAGAGATTTAGTTGATGTACTCGTCAAAAACCTTCGAATTATATCAATACTGTACGGCCTACCAGTGAAATAATCATTCGATCGACTGTTTATTAGGTATAAATTCGTTCAAGCATTATTTATCTTAATATTTTTATTTCAGAACCAAAGTCACATCTTTCATTCTTTATTAAAAACTAAACTTCTTATTTTGTAATTTTTTTTTAACGAAATAATTTAATTTTTCTATGAGGCAAAAATTTGATGTGCATCGTGTAACGTTTTTAAAATGCATTAATTCTTTTTTAATTTAGGATCTGGATATAATGATACATAAATACAATGTGTATTTTAAATAATTTTAAGAAATCAAAGCAAAAATGTGAACAAAAATATAAATATGTGTGATAGTATAATTTTATTATATTTTTAACGATATAATTATATGATTGCAACGATATAATTATATGTATATTGATTATATCATTGTAACAATACATTAATAAATAGTAAATCATGTAATAATTTATGCAATAATAATTAATACTTAATAATAATAACCAAATGATAAATGCAATAATAGCAAATAATAAAATAAATTATGTAATGAGTGTATCGACATAATAACATAAAATGTGATTCAAATATTTTATTATTTCATTTTATTTCATTTAAAAAATTTACCAAAAAATGACACCAAATGTTGATTTTATATTTAAAGAAATTGTCTTTCTTCAGAGTATAAATACTCCAATTTAAGATAATAATAATCATTGACTTTTAGACCGGTTGATGAAGTGCAGTGCACCTACACCAGGATCGATGGTGGCCAATAAATAATGCATGAGATGCATCTGCATACTCTCGTAAGGCTGTACGGTCAAAATAGACTGTCGTTTAAAGTAGACATTACGGTTATATATTGGTGAAAATCTGACGAAATTGTATAATTTAACTGGTTTATACCGGCAGAAGCTATTCTGGAATATTTGAAATAATTCACGTAATCCTACAGGTCATATTATAAATACCCTTTGCATGAATCTTTAATGCAACTCTGCAATAATTTGCGGTGAATCGTTAAAATAATTCGTTTCTAGATTTGGAAATTTCAGATTTCTGCATTTCTGTACCTGTGTTCTGCATCTTCAGTTTTCTGGGTTTTTTAAATTTTTTAGTTTGAAATGATCAAATTTTAAAATTACTAAATTTGTGTTTGAGTAAATTTTTAATGGTAAGTATGGAAATTTGAAGGATGAGATAATTTTAATATTTTGTCTTCATGTTAATTTTAATAATTTTAATCTTCGTGTTACTACATATATTCTTGATGAGAATGTGAGCAATGATCATAATACTGGTAACAACATACATATGTTTATTAAAAGAACCAAAGTTAAAAATATTAGCAACTTTGTATCACATATCGAAACTATAAAATTGATACTATAAAATATACTAGTATTCTATAAAATTACAAGTTCATTAAAAATAAAATTTCAGTACTTAAGAATTGATTTGAAGAATATTACATTTCGTACTAATTAATACCATAACTGTGATTTTTCTGACTACATGTATTCATACATTTGTCAAGTGCAGTTGTTTACCATTTTTAACAATCCAGTAAAAATGTTCTCAGAAAGTTGCACAAAATACATATCAACCAAAATAAGATAGTAACTTACACAATAACTAGCGATAAGTAAATTGTACACAGTGTGTTGTAATAAATAAATGGGTCAGCTAAACTAACCCATATTTTCTGTTCGATATCAACAAGCAAGATAAAGTGAAGTATTCAGCTGATTCATGCACCATACCTGTTAGTACAAGCTGAAATATGACGATTTCGGGAAATAAATTAAACACGTGTAAACGTTGACAAGCTTTTACGTTATACAATTATCAGAATGGCGGCTGTTTAACTTCAGAACCAGCTGTGTTATTTGTACACTTTTAAAAGTGTGAAAATATGGTGAAAAAGAAAACAAATACTAAGGCATTAACTAATATTTATTTTGCATTGCAATAAAATATGACTAACACTTCAATGAAAGTATGACAGTAAAAGTGAATTTGTAATATTAAGATAATATTAAAAGAAATGAATTACTGAAGTATTAGGTGACATGTATGTTTTATTTCAACAAAATGTGACAAACATTCCAATGAAAATATGGCAGTAAAAGTGAATTTGTAGTATTAAGAAAATATTAAAAGAAATTAATTACTGAAGTATTAAGTGACATATACAATTTTTTATTTCAACAATATGTGACAAACATTTCAACAAAAGTATCACAATAAAATTGAATTTGTAATATTAAAAAAATATTAAAAGAAATGAATTTTGCAATATTAAATGTAAAACCTAAAATCAGTCATTTTACTGTTAAAAAAAATTATTAAAATCTTCCTGCATGCATAAAAAATCTGTCCTTTATTCTTACAATCATAAACTATTAAAAAAAATAGGAATTTATGATGAAACAAAATTGATTGTCGACAAAAACTCAATAAGAATCAATTTCAATTTTAAAGCACATACATTATTACTTCTCATACGTTGTTTTGCTCTTTCTCATTGTGTGCTAAATATTTCTATGTAATTGAATGGCAGTTACAATTATCGTTAACATAATTATGTGTTATCTTGAGGCACACGTTGATCCGATTGTATGTATAGTGCGTGTATAAGTGGAAACGGCTTATAAAAGATTGCTTTCAGACAACAAACGGAACAACCGGAAGTTCTAGCTCCTTCTTCTTCGAACGACCAATATGGTGACGTGTCTGGTTTCTCAGGTTCGAGACCAGCGATGAGTCGATAGAAAGACGTCTCATCGCTGTGCGGGCATTGAAGTCTCCTTTGATCGCGAAAGAATAGCGTCGAATTTGTTCGGTTCTTTGCGGAGCTTTTTAAATATTCTTTGCGCTCTTTTTCAAATTGGTGAATTATGAAGGTAGAGGAGTTTTAAATAATTTAATTTGATAATTTGGTAATTTGATAATTGGATAATTTAGTAATTTTTTAATTTCGTAATTGATCATTTGTTCATTTGGTAATTTTGTAACTTGGAAATTAAATAATTTGGAAATGTATAAATTTGACAATGCAGAAGTTTGCAAATATAGAAATTTGGTAATGTGGGGATTTAAAAATATAGAAATTTGATAATGTTAGAATTTACAAATGTAGAAACTTGATAATTTAGTGCCGAAGAAGTTTGAAAGTTTAGAAGTTCAGAAACTTGGTAATGTAGTAATATGGTCATTTGATAATTTAGATGTTTGGTCATTGGCAGATTTAGAAATTCAATAATTTAGTAATTTGAAAATTTAAAAATTTGGAAATGTAGAAATTTGGATATGTAGAAATTTGGAAATGTAGAAATTTGGAAATGTAGGAATTTGGATATGTGGAAATTTGGATATGTGGAAATTTGGATATGTGGAAATTTGAAAATGTAGAAATTTAGATATGTAGAAATTTGGATATGTGGAAATTTGGATATGTGGAAATTTGGATATGTGGAAATTTGAATATGTGGAAATTTGGAAATGTAGAAATTTGGAAATGTAGAAGTTTGAAAATCTAGAAATTTTGTAATGTGAAAATTTGACAATTTGGAAACTTCCAAAAATATGGAAATTTGGTATTGCAAAAATTTACTAAAATAAAAATTTACTAATAAAAAATTTGAAAATCCAGAAATTTGCCAAATTAGACCCTCAAAAATTTAGTAGCAAGAAAATGCAAAAACATAAGACCATAAAAATCTCAGAATACGAAAATTAAAAATATTTTTAAACTACTAACACATAGTCTTCTTAAATCTATTAAACGTATATTGAACCACCACAAACAAAACGTATAAAAACCACACTACAGCAATTCTTGGCATTGTAATTTGACACTTCCTCACAGCTATCTCAATCAGATAATATTTTTGAAAAATTACGTGATAATTTACCTGTTAATTGGACAATATTTAGCTGAATTCTTGAATAACAATTGTAGAGTAACGACCGTGTCTCAGAGTGAACTTATTAAGCAGTATGTTCTTTACATTAATTTATCCGCGATTCATACATCATATTCAAACGATAAAAAAGAAAATGATGTATGCACATGGTACATTAGAAAGGAGTTTACTGTTAGAAAGCATAACGGTCAGACAGACTGTGTAAAATTTCACGATTCGTTTGCTACGTCGATCTTTAGAGGAATTCCTTGTTGTTAGGAAAGACCGCAGATGCTTGGAATTATTTATGAAAGTATACTGACGACAAAACACGACATTCATCATTGTAGATGATTCAAGATTCTATAACTATTTTAATATGTACAGTAATATTTAATTATGCATTTTCAAATTTTTTTAAGTAATACTAGTAAATAATGATAATATAAACATTTTCAATGAAGTAGATCTATTTTATAAAATATAACATCGCAAATTTGGAAAAATATAAGAAACATAGTATAATATTGTACATTTTAGAGGGTTCATTTTAAATGGGAAGTTTAAAAAAATGTAACCATAATTTTTTTTAATTTAAAC